CTTTGCAGATATAGACAATTTATTTCATGCGAACGAAAGAAGAAGAAGACATCTGACATTTACTATCTCTTGGTTTCATTCACAGCATCATGTGAGCCGCAGCCGCTTATATCAGGTGACCACAGCATCCAGTTTCCTCAGGATTTTTCTGCGTCATCGTATAAGGATGATCAACACAGCCCAGAGTACTGCCGGATGGTTCCCTTCAACAATGGTAAGACTTCTGTGTTAAGAAAGTTTCGAATCAGAAGAGAGAAGACTAGATAAGACTAACATTTCTCTACATCCTAGAATTGAAGACGATATAGTGGGAACTATTTAATGTACACCATTTAAAGTACTTCCTCACCAGTTAAGGTTCCGATGCCTAATTTCTTTTTTTTTGGGGGGGGGGGTGGGTGGTGGGGGGGGGTTGGTGGGGGGAGAAGATAAGACTATACCCTTGCCCTCAACAAGCATGTGGTTATTTATGGGTTTGCTGAAATCAAATGTGTTGGGCCAAAGAGCACAGCTATCTTTTAAAGGGCAAGTGTAGAAGAAGAAGAATGAGCCTCTACACTCCAGAATAAAAAGAGACCCTAGATAAGATTGTAGGCTACCTTTACACCCCAGCAAAGAAAAAGAAAGGCTAGATAAGATTGTAGGCTACCTTTACACCCCAGCAAAAAAAAAAAAAGAAAGGCTAGAAAAGATTGTAAGATACCTTTACACCCCAGCAAAGAAAAAAGAAAGGCTAGATAAGATTGTAAGATACCTTTACACCCCAGCACAAAAAAAAAGAAAGGCTAGAAAAGATTGTAAGATACCTTTCCACCCCAGCAAAGAAAAAGAAAGGCTAGATAAGATTGTAAGATACCTTTACACCCCAGCAAAGAAAAAGAAAGGCTAGATAAGATTGTAAGATACCTTTACACCCCAGCAAAGAAAAAGAAAGGCTAGATCAGATTGTAAGGTACCTTTACACCTAAGCAAAGAAAAAGAAAGGCTAGATAAGATTGTAGTCTACCTTTACACCTAAGCAAAGAAAAAGAAAACCTAGATAAGATTGTAAGATACCTTTACACTTAAGCAAAGAAAAAGAAAGGCTAGATAAGATTGTAGGCTACCTTTACACCCCAGCAAAGAAAAAGAAAACCTAGATAAGATTGTAGGTTACCTTTACACCCCAGCAAAGAAAAAGAAAGGCTAGATCAGATTGTAGGCTACCTTTACACCCCATAAAAGAAAAAGAAAGGCTAGATAAGATTGTAGGCTACCTTTACACCCCAGCAAAGAAAAAGAAAGGCTAGATAAGATTGTAGGCTACCTTTACACCCCATAAAAGAAAAAGAAAGGCTAGATAAGATTGTAGGCTACCTTTACACCCCAGCAAAGAAAAAGAAAGGCTAGATAAGATTGTAGGCTACCTTTACACCCCATAAAAGAAAAAGAAAGGCTAGATAAGATTGTAGGCTACCTTTACACCCCAGCAAAGAAAAAGAAAGGCTAGATAAGATTGTAGGTTACCTTTACACCCCATAAAAGAAAAAGAAAGGCTAGATAAGATTGTAGGCTACCTTTACACCCCATAAAAGAAAAAGAAAGGCTAGATAAGATTGTAAGCTACCTTTACACCCCATAAAAGAAAAAGAAAGGCTAGATAAGATTGTAAGGCATCTTTACACCCAAGCAATGAAAAAAATTAAACCTAGGTAAGATTTTAAGGCATCTTCACACCCAAGCAATGAAAAAATTAAACCTAGATAAGATTGTAAGGCATCTTTACACCCAAGCAAAGAAAAAAATTAAACCTAGATAATATTGTAAGGCATCTTTACACCCAAGCAAAGAAAAAAAAAATTAAACCTAGATAAGATTGTAAGGCATCTTTACACCCAAGCAAAGAAAAAAATTAAACCTAGATAAGATTGTAAGGCATCTTTACACCCAAGCAAAGAAAAAAATTAAACCTAGATAATATTGTAAGGCATCTTTACACCCAAGCAAAGAAAAAAAAATTAAACCTAGATAAGATTGTAAGGCATCTTTACACCCAAGCAAAGAAAAAAATTAAACCTAGATAAGATTGTAAGGCATCTTTACACCCAAGCAAAGAAATAAATTAAACCTAGATAAGATTGTAAGGCATCTTTACGCCCAAGCAAAGAAAAAAATTAAACCTAGGTAAGATTGTAAGGCATCTTTACACCCAAGCAAAGAAAAAAATTAAACCTAGATAAGATTGTAAGGCATCTTTACACCCAAGCAAAGAAACAAATTAAACCAAGTTAAGATTTTAAGGCACCTTTACACCCAAGCAAAGTAATTATTAAACCTAGATAAGATTGTAAGGCATCTTTACACCCAAGCAAAGAAAAAAAAGAAAGCCCAGATAAGACTTTAAGGTATCTTTACACCCCAGAGAACAAATAATAACCCTAGATAAGATTGTAAGGTATCTTTACACAACAGAATAGAAAATTAAAGATAAGATACAAAATGGGGATATCTCAGAATAGAAGAGTTAAGTTGACTTGAGTCAAGAACATCACAGCACTTGGGACAGTCCCATGTGTGCTGTGACCTCATCTTCAGCAGCCAGTGCAAAATTCTAATACTAATTGTCGCGGTAGTTAGGAATAGAATCTCAGAATAGAAGAGAAAAGACTATATATAATTAAAAGATACCCCTATACTGTAGAATAGAGAGGGAAAAACCAACATGATCACAGGGTGCCTCTACATATTAGGTTTTTTTTTTTAACCCTATTTTTATTTTTATTTTTTCTATTTCTTAGATGATACAAAATCATGCACAGCACCTGCACCTTTTTGCAGTCATCTTTTTTTTTTTCAGCACCTCTGTAATAAATACTTTGTGGTGAGTGCCAGTACTATTTGTAGACACTTTATTATGAATTCCGGCACCTTTTATCTAGAGGAAAAAAAAGCCCCACCTACAGTGGGAAAGAAAAGACTAGACAAGTGTGTAGGGTACCTATACAAAGTAGTGCAGAAAAGAACACTTGTTCATTATAGAATTTCTTTGGCTATTGCATCAAATTGTTTTTACATACATTTATATTTGCAATTGCAAAACCTATATATTTCAGCCTCATGGAGCCCTGTCAATGATTCTGTTGGTGAGTGGCTTGCTGTTTCCTTCCACTCCCCTGTGACCATCACAGAATTACAGATACGAGGGGAGGACTCCACTGATAAGTACGTGTCGAAGTTCAAACTACAGTACCAGTATGATGAAAGGTCACCCTGGTACTGGTTCACTAATCCAGACAGATCTGTACGGGTGAGTCTCCTCCCCCTCCTCCTCCTCCACCTCCTCCTGCTGCTGCTGCTGCTTCTTCTTTTTTTTACTTCTTCCTTTTCTCCTTCTTCTCCTCCTTCTCCTTCTCCTCCTTCTCCTTCTCCTTCTTCTTCCTCTTCTTTTTCTTTCTCCTCCTCCTCCTCTTCCCCTTCCTCTTCTTCTTTTTCATCTTCTTTTTCTTTGTGCTCATCAGCTGTAAGCTCTAGCAGAAAGTTCTGGTTGTTCGTCCACTTCTGCACTTTATCTTCCTCCAAAACTTGAGTTTGCATGCACATCCATTTTACAGATCCTGCAGATTGTTAGTTCTTCTTTGCCTCTCAGGCAGATGCACCCCTACATAGACATAAATTCCCTTAATTAGTTGACTTCTATGACATGCTTGGGGAGGGGGGGGGAAGGGTCCATTCCTGCCCCCCCCCCCTCCCACAATAGGAGCTCAGAACCTACATGGGAGGCATAAGTTGTGAAGAGTTTATGTGTCACTGTAAACATCTCAATCACTCCTGTGTCCATGTCTGACTTTTGTCCTTCTCTTTCTCTCTATCTGTCTCACTGTATTTCTTTCTTTGGCTCCCTTATCTCTCTCTCTCTCTCTCTCTCTCTCTCTCTCTCTCTCTCTCTCTCTCTCTCTCTCTCTCTCTCTCTCTCTCTCTCTCACTTATGTCTGTCTGTCTGCCTTTTTTACTATTTGTCTCTCCAAATCTATCTCTGTTCCTCTCCAGTATTTCTCTCTCTCATATTCATAAGCATACATGCACTCACACACAATAGATTATGCATTCAAGAATCTATTAAAATATATTTCTGTATCCACCACTTTCATATTTTGTTCTTCTACCCAGCCCTCTCATTCAGCCTCCACTTAAAAGGTAAATCTACTAAACATCTGATTTAATTCAGAAACCATTTTAGGTTAGAAAAGTCAGCATTCCATTAGGCTATCTCTCTTTGTCAATTCATAAAGGTTTTAATTCCTATTGTTTTACAAAGCAAAACTCTTTTTCGTCTGTCAACAGTGTTATCACACTTCACTTAGTGCAGCAAACCTGGCATATGATATCACATCGTCTAGTTTGAGACTGGAGCTGGAAGCAGTCACGGCTGCCTTCCACTGGCATGAGAATCAGCTGTACACACTGAGTGCTCTGATGTTGATTCTCAATTCAACATTCAAATCACTTGTCCACAGTGAACCAGTATATTAAATTATTTATTTGTTTCAAGAAAAGTGAAAAGTAAAAAAAATTAATACTGTGAAATATGTTTTTGCTAACTGAAACTAACCACATATACTGGGTAAAACTGTGAAGGGGCTTTAAATGAAAACCATAAAAGTGTGCTGACATTACAATAACCAAACCATTGTATTTTTACCTGTTGGTATTGATGTTAAGGATGTCAGGAGTGTTAAGCCTGTGACAGCTCCGTGCATGCAGATGGACATGGTGACATCATAAGGACAGTTTAAATATGGCCACCCAGCTTGTGACATGCACCAGTGAGGTGCATCCTTCTGTTATCTATTTTTTGATCAGTGAAGTGGTAAAACTTGTCTACCCTCAAGGGATAGATCTCTTTTTGTCTACCCTCAAGGGATAGATCTCTTACATAAAGAACAATCTGTCAGAAAGGTGAGATTCAGTGTGACAGACACGTTTAGTACTTGTGCGTTGTCATTAGTGACAACAGTCAGTTGATGTCATTGGCTAAAATTTTGGCTTTCATTAGTTTTTGTGACATACATTGCCAGATCTTTGATGGGGTGACTGTGCCAGATAGTTCAGCTGTAGTTTATCTGCCTGGCGAAATCCAAGCTCATGCTGTGAAAATCTGGCCAGTAGAGTGGAGTTATGGAATTGCAATCCAGCTAGAGCTTAGTGGATGTCCTGAAGGTATCTTATATCAGTAACATTCATATCCTTCAATAAAATTGTAACTTTTACATTGTCCATGCAATGATTTTTTAGGTGAGACAGTTACCTTTATCTTGCTATAAACTATGGCAAAAAAATTATGCTTCAACCAAAGTCTTTATCAACAGAGTACTAGCAAGTCTGTGACTGGAACACTCAGTGGATGAGGCAACAAAGATTTAAAAAAAAAACGTTAGGGAAAAAGGGGGGGGGGGGGTATCAACATAAAACCAAGAAGTACATAATGAAGGAAAATATTATGAAGGGCTAAAATATGAAACAAAATGAGTAAGAAGGCATATGTAAAAAGAGGGGGGGGGGGGGGGGAGGGGGATGTGAATAAATTAAATAAATGAGCAAGTTAATAAATTAAATAAAGATGTGTTGAATATTGATCCCTCCAGGACTAAGAATGCCAAAACTATGAAATGATTCTCTAATGATTAGTGACTGGTTTGATTACCGGAGCACCACAGAAAATTATTGTTGATCTGTCATTTACGAACTCTAGCCTTGCTCCAGAACTGGAGCTTTGTATACACATCCATTTGACAGATCTGGCTTATTTGTAAGAAGACTGCTGGTTCCCCACTTCTCAGACAGATGCACTCCAATTTTAAGGAAACTGCCTCAGTTAGTTCCCTTGTATGACATGCTTGTTAACTCTTTGAGTCCCAGGGGGTTTAGCATCACAGGCCCAGGGGGTAGTAAAGAAAGTAATAAAATCGGCGCATCTTGCGTTCATTGGGCTTGTAAGTAGGATCCTATGAACGTATGATGCGTTCATTGGGACTCAAAGAGTTAAGGGGGCACTGGGTCTATTATTATTTTTTCTCCCCAGAACCCACATGGAGAGAAAAGTGGTAGTTTAAAACTATTTATGATTTTTTTTTAATATAACTAAAGGATCTTAGAACTGCCCCTTATCCTGGGAGTGAGTGCCTAGCTTTTTAGAATAAGGACTAATAGAATAGGAAGTCTGACAGTTTAGTCTGTTTTCTGTCTGTATTCTTGTGTATCTTTTTTCTTTTATAGTGAAAATATTTATGTCTGTATTCTTGTGCGTCTTTTTATGTCACAGTGAACACATTTCTGGAAAAACTCTGGTGTGTCTCACATAACATATGGTAAACATGAAAACAGAATTCACATGTTATGGGTGTCTATCACAGCTAATAGCTCATAAACAGATAATGCACATGTAGCACAGCTTTGTTCTTTGCAATGTCACACCCAGGTTCGCCAGGTTTGCTACAGGAGGAGTTGATTGAAGAATATAGACGGGGAGAAAAATAGTCGTGTTGATAGTGGTGATGATGATGATGGTGGTGTCTTGCTTGCTGCATGCTTCTCACGTGAATCTGATGCTTGAAAAATACAATATCTTGAAACAACTGTTCTGTTCTATACTGTCTTTATTGTGATACCTCAGTAATGTCACAAACAACCTCAAAGATATTCTGAATGGCGCTGTGTTCTCTCTGTGGTTACGTGCTCTTGAGGTTGCGTTGTGTTTTTCATCTCTAATTACTTTACTGGTTCTAGTGTCTGTTACTGCCACCTGGCTTCTAGTGCTGTCTGGTACTAATGGCTTAATCATCAACTGTAACATCTTAATAGTGTTCCTACCTAATGTGTCCCTGTTAGTCATGAATCCATGTATCTTGTGTGTCATCTCTGTAGTTTGTGGTTTCATTTCGTGTCTGCTCTCTAGTGACTGTCTTCGAGGCTTCATGTGACTGGCTCCTCTTCTTCTAGCATTGAGCTGGCATCTGTGAGAGTCCATGAGACTAGTCACTCATCTTCTAAGTCTCGATGATTGAAGGCTCTTTTTTATGGTCCATATGACTGGTCCCTCCTCTTCCAAGTCTGGCAAACTGAAGGATTTCTTTGAGGGTCGATATGACTGGTCTCTCCTTTTCCAATTCTGGCAAACTGAAGGATTACCATAGTGGTTTCTCACCCATTATTTATAACTAGATGCTGGAATGCTAGGTATTTGTTTTCTACTCTTCTAGAAATTTCTAGTACATCTCAACATGTTTACTATGTGCGTTCTCATGTGGGATTTTCTAATTATATCTCAGTCGCATCAGATTGCATCATCTTTTTCTGCACCTAAATATACTAATTAGATTGACAGCTGTCCTCATGGAGCTTCCAGAAAGCTAGTACTACTGCTTTCACTTTGATAGGGCACGTCAACAATGACATCATATACTATTTATAGATTATTCATTTGCAAAATATTTCTCTGTTAAAAAAAGGATTGTTCTAGAAAAGAGAATGTCAAGGTGACCAAAACTTGTTAATTCTGGTAAATCTTAGCTTTGCGCAATACCCTACCTCCTAACAAACAAGTGATGACGTCTCCCTGTTACACACAGATACATGTTAAAGCATCTACTCTCATATGTGAGGTATTTTGAGCCATGTTAGCTTTTAAATTACATTGTGGGATGTAGAGGTGTATTGGAAGCTTTGTCAGTGTTTCCGTTAGATTCTGGGGTGTAGACGAACCTTTCCCCCCCCCCCCCCTTTCCTCTATCCTGAGGTAACTTAATCAAGTTTATTCTTTTATACCCAAAGCTGTAGATATTATTTACAGTTTTACCTGACTCCCAGAGAAGCCACAAAACTGACACTTCTTGTTGGGTCCATTCCCCATAAATGTCACCTATTCAACTTGTCTAGATTGATATGTTAATGAGTCGCATAATTAATGTTATTGGCTGAGTTCACGCCTGCGTAATAATTTACTGGTCAGGATATGAATATAGTTACTTAAAATAACATTCAAGGAGTTCCTTGTGAACCAAATAGCCTTTTTTTTTTTTTAAATCTTATTGAATGTTACATTTTCCTGTAATCCTCAGTGATAGAGATCTCTAGGTCACCACATAAGTCACCCGATACATATTTTTTTAGGCCTTGGGGAATTTTTTCCATTTAATGCTTTACTTTGTTTATTTTTACTTCTTCTTCTTCTTTGCGTTCACCAGCTGTACACTCTGGTGGAAAGTTCTGGTTGCTCGTCCACTACTGAACTGCAGTCCTGCTCTAGAAGCTGACTGTTGCGTGTGCATCAGTTTTACAGATCTTATTCTCTTGAATACAGACTGTTGGTTCCTTGCCTCTCCGGCAGATGCACTCCGACTTCAAAGGAAGCTCTCCAATTAGTCAACTCTTACGACATGCTTTTGGGGAGGTAGTGGGTCTATTCTTGTTTTCCCCACAATGGGGCCCCGGAACCCACACGGGGGGTTTATGTTTACTGATAACTCCCTTAATAAGTAAAATAAGTAAAGGACCCTTTTCCACGCCTTTAGGTGTATAGGGCATATTCGGCTAGACCTATATTTTTTATAGACCAATCGGCACAAGAGGGTGATGTGGTCAGCATCACGCCGGCTGCCTTTACTTTCTAGGACTGCACCCGATACCCACTGAAGGCTGGGTCGACCTGGGAGCCAAGGTCATTTTTGAAAAAAATTCCGGCTCCGCCAGGTAGCAAACCCATGACCTTCCGATCTGTGGCAAGCATCCAGCCACTCGGCCACAGCGACTCCCAACTATTTTAATATATCTTTATTTATTTGGGAACAAAACAGTTTAGATAAATACATGTTTTTAAACATTTATTTGCAGTCTGTGTGAAAAATTTACATTTTTTTCTTGTAAAAAAAAATTTTTAGGATTATTTTTGGGAATTCCCATGAGGTAATTATCGTTTTTTATTTTTAGCATTACCGAGGCAACAGGGTTAATCTTTGACATGGGATTTGGTGTAACATTACAATTTAGCCTTCCATGGAAATGCAGATGTCCTTTAGAGTCCTATTTATGTTTAGTCTTTCCTTTTCTGTGCTGAAGCTTAGAGATAACTTTCTTGATTTTTTTTCTTTTTCCTTCTCTCATGAGATCCAAACAAATTTAGTCCTTCGTCTCTTACACTAGAATTTTGAAGTTGTCTTACATAATTTTTTTTAGCAAGGTCAGTCAAAGAACCCTTACTAAGACAAGTAAAACACCTTATCAGGATCAAAACCCTGTATCAGAAAAACAAAACTCTGAATCAGAAACGAAACTCTGTATCAGAAACGAAACTCTGTATCATGATCAATGATTGCCTGTTCTTGTTTATTCTTGTGTTAGATGACTGTGTCCCTGATAATGCTTTGAGTGGTCCTTACTTTGTGGATGACAGAAACTTCAGAGCCTCATCTGAGCTGCCTGGGTTTGAGTCTTGGAATGCCAGGCTTAAACCAGGAAGAAACCAGCGACAGCTGTCGGTCTGGATGCCGCTCACTACGGAGACAAACCCATGGATTGAGGTCGATTACCATTTATTTAAACGTCTCATCAGTTCTCTTTCTGTTCCTTCTGTTACCTCATTGATGTGTTAAGGGAGGGAGGGGGGAGGAGGGGAGGGGGGTTGCAAAGATCTTATGTGTGTTCTTTCTGGTGTGCTTTTTCTAGTGTGCGCTTACCAGTGTGCTCTTTCTAGTGTTGTCTTTCTAGCGTGCTCTTTCTAGAGTGCTCTATCTAGTGGGCTCTTTCTAGTGTGCTCTTTCTAGTGTTGTCTTTCTAGCGTGCTCTTTCTAGAGTGCTCTATCTAGTGGGCTCTTTCTAGTGTGCTCTTTCTAGTGGGCTCTTTCTAGTGGGATCTTTCTTGTGTGCTGTTTCTAGTGTGCTTTTTTTAGTGTTCTCTTTCTAGTGTGCTTTTTCTAGTCTGCTATTTTAGTCTGCTCTTTTAAGTGTGCTGCAAAAGTTGAGACTGTTTATTGATGTCTCTGTTTCATCTTTTGAATAATCTGATAGAAGAAAACAAATTTTTTTTTTAATTAAAAAAAAAGCGGGAAGACATGGAGTGAGCTGCATGCAATAGCAAATGATAGGACAACCTGGCCTCAGTTGGACTGTGCCCAATGTGGTTTGTATTGAACACTGCAGATTCAGAAAATAACAAGTAGCCTATTCCTGGAGAGCCGGTCGGTGCCTTATTCAACTAAGTGTATGTGCAAGTTCACTGATCTGTTGTAACTACTGCTTCATTGGATGATGAATTGTGTTTCTAGTGCCAGACTTAGGTAAAGAAATAGAGCAAGTATGGGTTGCTCTCCTGTGCTAAAAAGTTGAAACTGTGATTAAGTGTTTTTTTTTCCAGGTTATTTTTTTCTTCTTACCTGCCCCATGTCTATCCTTGCCTCCTTCTCCAAGAACCATGATTTGTTTTTTAAGGCTCTTGTTGAGAAATGTGATATTTACTATGACTAAACTATTAAAGAGCAGTGTTTCTTCACTGTAAATTTGAAGAAAAAAAAATTATATATACAACAAAAATAGATTGCACAATAATTATGATTATCTTTGTAAAACAAGCTACTTTTGTGTGCAGTTGATTTTCTTCAATGGTTACTGTAGTATGTACCTGATGGGATACTGTGAAATGTACCAGGCATTACATTTTGCAATCTGTTGTTTGTGTCTTCTTTGTTTTAAGTATTTCAGTTAAATGCATGATGTTGTTTATAAGCCAGACGTCTGTGATGTCAAGACGCTGTAGAATAGCAGCATTTTTCTTGATTCCAGACTCTTTTTTGTAAGTTCACATGCACCAATTATGTCCTTTGGTAATGGTGAAAATGCAATGCTTGTTGTCATAGCTATTTTTCTAGAGAAAAAAATTGCTGGTAATCAACACAAAGTGTCTGAAAAAGGTGTCAGTACTTACCACAAAGTGTCTTATTACAGCAGCACTGAAAAAAAAAAAAACATTGATGCCTAGAAAAAGGTGCCACAACTGCCAAATTAAAAACCTTTATTGCTGCTTTTATTTGTTTGCTCATGTGTTATACCATAGGTAATTAAAACTGTGTAGTCACACAGGTGCAGCCCAGTTAAAAGTGTTTGTATTCTGCCTTATTCATTCCACTAATTTATCACACAGGTAGATCTAGGAAAGAAGAGAATTGTAAAGGGAGTGACTATAGCAGGTGATGCTGCGGGTAACTACGTGGCTGGGTTTAATCTGCTGCTGAGTCAGTCACCAGGAGACCCGTGTATCACATACATGGAACCATACGGGCAACCATATGTAAGTTTCTCAGTGTGATACAGTTCTGTCAACTTCTGGAACAGACATATAATTATGTATCATTATTGAAACAAACAACATCATTATCATCATCACCCATTTATCCATCCATCCATCCATCCATCCATCCATCCATCCATCCATCCATCCATCCATCCATCCATCCATCCATCCATCCATCCGTCCGTCCGTCCATCCATCCATCCATCCATCCATCCATCCATCCATCCATCCATCCATCCATCCATCCATCCATCCATCCATCCATCCATCCATCTGTCAATCCATCAATCCATCCATCCATCCATCCATCCATCCATCCATCCATCCATCCATCCATCCATCTGTCAATCCATCAATCCATCAATCCATCCATCCATCCATCCATCTGTCAATCCATCAATCCATCCATCCATCCATCCATCCATCCATCCATCCATCCATCCATCCATCCATTAATGCCTTGCAATGTATGTGGGAGATCATGCCTTACCACAATCTGTGATCCTCAAGATGATGGGATGTATCAGTGGGTTGATACCCCTCCAAGCCATAATAAAAGTTTGTCAAGAATCATCTCATGTTATCTTCTTCTGTCTCTTTTTCCCAGATCTTTCCAGTGGTCACCACATCTTCCAGTTTCCTTCTTTTCATAAAATGGTGAAACAATTATGTCTCTTTCTGCTGTTAGTGAGAAGTTGTCTTCGAGCCCTCCCTTCTTTCATGACATCTGGGTTGCTCTAAAAGACTGTGCCCAGATAAGAATTCTTCTGTAAAACCACATTTCTGAAGCCCCAAGATATTGTTTGACTTGTTCATAAATTGTCCAGGATTTACAGCTATATGTTAAAACTGGCTTTATATACATAGCATGCAAGAATTATTTTTCTGACCTCCAGTAATGTGGATTTATTGCATAAAACACATAGTCCTGTAAATTCTTGTCACAAATAATCCTATAATGCTCTTGCAAAACCTCAAGTTCTGGAAGCAGGGCCAAAGCCTCAGATGTGGATGAACAACCAGATTTTTCCCACCAGAGTTTGTAGCTAGTGAATTCTAAAAGGAAGAATAAATAATAACGAAGCCTACAACTTCCTGTGTTATCAGAATAAAATAATTACCATGAGTTGTTTCATACAGATTTTCTTAAGAATCATTATGCACATGGTTAGAAAGAAAATAGAATAGGATAAGTATTTTTGGGTTTGTAGAAAGGCGGAGTACAACAAATTTCTTGTTTTGGAAAATTAGAAGTCTCTTGGTCAGTATAGTGGAAAAGTATGTTTACTGTGTTTAGATGTGGTAAATTTTTTGCTTCTAACTATTGTTAACTATTTCCTGGTGCAATGCTGCGAGCTGTGGTTTTCATTAGACCTACTTTTTGACTGTCCAACATGGTTTTGTTTGTGAACTTGAGATTCAGAAAATGGTGGGTGGCCTGTTGTCCGGCAGTTGCTTTATGAATTTAGTGCTTCTGAAGACGGTTGAATTTGCCAAGACTGCATTCTGTGTCAGTTTTTTCATACACAGGGTTCGTAGTGGACCGGGAAATCGGGAAATTACCGGGATTTTTTTCGTTGACCTTGAACCGGGATTTTTAGCTTATAAAAGACATTCCGACCTTAAAAACCCGTGAATTTTGACCGCGGCAATGAAATCGTCAGAAATCCTGTGTTTTTCAGCACAGGCAATTTTGAGGGAGCCATTTGGCTTTTTTGGCCATTTGGCTAGTTTTTGGCTACTTTCGTTGTATGGTCGTTTCAGGTGTGAGGGCAGCTGATTATTGGCTATTTTCAGCCGAAATGGCTTGTTAAAGGCCAGGGGAGGGCGGGCTTTGTTGCTGATCATGAAAACATGCAGACAGCAGCGGTGTGGCATGGGGCGGGAAGTAGCAGATTCCGTCTCACGCGCGTCTCGCGCGCGTGTGTGTGTGTGCCTTTGTTTCTAGCGAGTCCGGCAGAATGAACAGTTTAAACAGTTTAAATCGTTTATGGCCGTGGTTTCTAGAAAGGATTACATTGGGAGATGGTGGGGCTCGGTGCAGTTGTATTTATAAATAGAGTCGCCGTGGTGGGGGCTAAGCACGGCCTTCTCTATTAATTAGAGATGGCATTGGGGCTAAGCAAAGTGACTGCAGCTGGATTTCCCAGTTCTATTTTTGGCCTGGATTTATCTTTACAGTGTGTTTGGCGATCAGTATTGTAATTCCCCGAGATTCCCTCTTCTGTTGTCTCACCCCTCTCTCTCTCTCTTCCCTCCCTCTTTCACTCTTCTACCTATTGCTCCTTCCTTCCCGTCTCCTGCATTGTCTCTAACCCTCCCTTCTGATCTTCATCTTCTTCTCTTTCTCTCTATCTTTTCTTTTACTCTCTCATTTCCTGTCCCCCCCCCCCCTCCCCCTTTTTCCTATTTTATTTCTTGTTTAAATGTTTAGTAAATGTGCGGCTCCATAACTCTTCCTAGCAACTCAAGTACACAGGAAGTTGTATTGGGGGGGGGGGGGGCATTCTGTGTGAACATGGTGGATATTTTCTTTTGATGTGTTTTGTTTTCCTAGCGGCCTTAATCTCTGTCCATCTCCCTTCCCGCCCCCTCACATTTTTGTCCTACCTGTTCCTCACTCTCTGACTGTCTGTGTCACTGCTTTCCTCTCTCTCTTTGTATTTGCCGCTCTCCCTCACTCCCTCCCTCTCTTTCTCTCTCTCTCTCTTTCTTTCTTTCTCCATACCTTCAGTTGGTGTATAAGGTTATGTGTTGCCTAGTGCAGAACATTTCATGTCCATCATTCCCCCCTCCCACACATTAAATATATGTGTACTTTTAAAAACACATTTGCCGCCTCCCACCCCCCCCCCCCTTTTCTCCTCCCACATTGATGACACCTAGGGGAGGGAGTGCACCCCTTCCTGCTACCTTCTTCCCTCTATATCTCATCTTATTTCTTACTCCCTTCTTTCTCTCCCTGTCTCATTCCCACTTTATTTTCTTAAACTTTATTCTCTCACCTCCTCTGTCTCACCCTTACCACCTCAGCCTTCTACACCACTTTCCACCACCCTCCTCTCTCCCCTCCTTTCTGTAATTGGAAAACCAGAAATAAAATGAAGTCCACTGCTGCCCTGACCTATTTATGTGTCTGACCTATTTATGTGTGTGGGTAAACTTCTCTATTTTCCACCAGTGGTGGGTTGGGATCCCCTGGACTTTTTTTTTTCTTCATAAAATGACCTTGGCTCTCAGGTCACCAGCCTTAAGTGTAAGAAATTGAATTATTGTTGTCACACACAGATAGGACAAGCAAGGGGCAGTAGGGGTTAGCACTGTTGTTTTTGGACCACGGCCACATTCACATTGGGAGAGGGTAGGAACCGGAAAAGTGGCCTCACTTAGAGATTTCCTAATTCTATTTTGGGCACTCATTGTTCTTACACCCCCCACCCCCACAACCGTGTCTTACCTTTCTTCTCTCACCCCTTCTCTTTCCTTTGATCTTCTACTATTCTCCTTTCTCTCTCCATTCTTCCTCTCTTCCTTTCCTTGCCCTTTCTCCTGTCCCATCTCTTCTTTGTCTCCTCTCCATCCTGTCTTTTCATTTTCTCTAGATTTCCTTACCCGCTCCCCTCTCTCATTCCCTTCCCCCCCCCCCCCCCATTTTTTTTTACCTGGTTCATCTACATATTTTTTTGCCCCATAACTATCTTTTCCTAGTGGTTGTGTCCACTACACTTGAAATTGTGTGGGGGGGGGGGAGTGGGTGGCTGTTTTTTTTCTTTGAGGTATCTTGTCTCCCTTCCTTCCCCCCTCTCTTAATCTGTGTTTGTCACTGCCTTCCTTACCCACCTTTCTCTCTCTCTCTTGCTTTATGTCTGTTTGCCTCCCTTCATCACTTCCTCTTTGTATACCTCCCTCCCATTCTCCTGCTCTGCCTTTTTTCTCTTTCTTTGGTTCTCTCCCTCTGTCTGCTTGCCTCTCTGTGCTGTCCCTTTGTCTCTCTCTCCTTTATGTCTACATCTCTCTCTGCTTGCATCTGCTTCTCACCCTGTCCGTTCTCTCTCCCTCTGTCTCCCTTCTTTCAACTCTTTGTCATATTTTCCTCCTTCCATATCTCTGTTTCGTTCCCTTTTTCCTTCTCTTTTCATCTGCCCATCTCTGTATCTGCATTCCCTCTTTCTGTATTTGTCTCCCTCTCTGTCTTTCGCTGTCCCTTCCCCACTTTTCCTCATCATGTTTCCATCCCTCCCTCTCATTTTTTCCTCCTTCCCCAGACTTCTTTTCCTTCTTTTCTCTACCTTCATCTGTCCATCTTTACACTGTCTCTCCCAGCCTACCTCAGCATGTGTCTTCCTCTCTCTTCATGACTCTCTCTCTCTCCCCTAACCCTCTCAGGTACCAGGTCCAGAACAGACAGGACTTCAGTTTGCTGCCCTCTACCACCAAGCCCTAAAAAAAAATTTCAAACACTATATCAAGCTCAGGGGCCGACCAACACGAAGATGGACACAGGATATAAGTGACTCCTTGAGTATAAAAAAGTACATGAGGCGGGAGAGCTGGTGAGAGACCGAGTTTTTTTTTTGTCAGGACAAAGGAAATGCTACATGATGATGATATCTGTGCTGGTATACCAACACATGTGGCACAAATGAAGTACCTTGTGTGCTCAGTACACCCTTGAACAAGGCAAAAATCTTGTATTAGTATTACACCGAGACAACCTTGAAAAAAACTAAGAAGACCTTGAAAAAGACCTTGAAAAGCCTTGAAATTGATTGGTAAATTTGGCTATGAACCCTGCATACATTATAGTGATGAATATTCTGTGTGGTTTCCTAGGTGCTCTTACCTGTCCACTAGAACGTCTGGGGGTTCAAATCTGCTTGAAGGCTTTTTTTTTTTTTTTTTTTAATGTCCCGGCTCCTAGTAAAATGGGTACCAGGTACTGTCTGAGGAAGTAATGGCCACCACTGATGGGATGTTGACTGGATCACCCATGGAGTCCCTATTGGTGTGTAAAAATATGAGACTAGCACTGTATCCCTAATGTGCCAACGCCATCAAATTCTACATACACATACAGCTCAGACCTCACAAGGAGAACTCACCCGGGACCCAAGAAATTGTTATTATTATCAGAAGCACTTCTTATCCAGCCAGAATTTCAAGCAAGAAAAATATCAGGGGATAGACAAACTGTTCTTCACAACATAAATTCTCCACATCCGAGATCATCTTAAGCAGTGTGCACTGTATGAACTAACCAAGTCATGTCTCACGTTTCTACAGATATTTTCAGGCGCCATTCCCAAAGGACAGTTGTTAACCTTTGACCTGGTGTCAAGTGTAGAGGCTAGAGTGGTGAGACTGCTGGTTCTTTACTGGGCAGGGAAGGCGGCCCTCAAGTTTGATGTTCTGGTTTGTACCTCTGGTAAACAATCTTTCTTTCTTTCTTTTTTTCTTTCTTTCCTTTCTTTCTTTCCTTCATTATCTTTCTTTGCTGCTAGACTATTCTGTTCTTTTATAATTTCTATAATTTTATTTTGTTATTTTGATATCTTTCTCATCATTCATTGTCTTTCTTTCTTAGGAATGTTCTTTCTTCTATTTCCTGATTAGATTTTTATCCATTTTATTTATATTCTTTTATGTCTTATAAAGTTTAGATCAGTCTTAAATAGTTACACATTGTGCATCTGATCCACAGCTTAATCTCATGGTAGCAGCTGTGACATGCTATCTTTAGTTATCAGGCATTGCAAGCTATAGTAGCTATGGTAGAATGCTCACATGTGGATCCAAAGGTTGTGGTTCAAATTTGAACCGAGCCCAACTTTTTAAATAAAATTACAAGGGTTAACTCGATCAACTAACAGTTACAGTAACATAACTGGTCCACAGTAAAGTATGTTCTGTTACCCCAATAGTTTTTTTTTTTCAGGCTGTACTGCAGAACCAATCATTGACAAGCTTCCTAGCAGCCAGATTTCAGCCTCAGACAGTGACGATTATCATGACCCAAGCAGGTCAAAGCTCAACACACAGAGGTCAGGAGTTCTGGCTGATGCCTGGCGGCCTCTCCGTCCCACAGTTGTTGATTCTTCCTACATTCAGGTATTTTTTAAAATATTAGATTAGTGCAGCATTGTGTGATTTATACAGATAATATCTTGTTTAACCCTCTAGGGTATAAGTGGGGAATATAGCAACAGTAATCCCATGGCAAATGTGGCGATACAATATGCAATTGTTGATGTGACTGGAAAATTTGGCTCTCCTCCGAACTTCTACCCCCGCAATATTGCGGCCTGAAATATCCGTTTGGGGCACAGTCTAATTAAAAATATGCCAGCTCTGTATAACGAAATAAATGCTCTAACAGGGTCTCAGCGATATGTTACTTGCGGACCTGTTTCATATTGTTTCTGATTCCTGACAATTCTAAGAGACACAAACAACACTGCAGACGATAGTAGCAGATGATAATAATAGGGACCATTGACACTTTCCATTGTCAAACTTTCTGCGACGAACAAATCGCGGCAAATCTAGGATCGGCTCGGAAAAAAGAAACAAATAACAGGGTCTCAGCGATATGTTACTTGCGGACCTGTTTCTGTGACTATGCCTCACCGCCGAGCGTATCCCCCACGCTGCTACGTGCGGCGCGGATAGGGGCTAAACTAGATGGCTGGAACTCACGAGCGACAGCTACAGCATCTCCTGCAACTTCCTCCAATTACTTTGCTCCTGAGTCCCAGGCACCTAGTTTAGCCCCCCATCCGCGCCGCGCATAGCGGCACGAGGGATACACTCGGCGGTGAGTTTAATCTCGTTATGCACATGCCAACAAGTCTGACAATGTTGAGTCTCGTGACATTGTAAGGTACTCCTAGTTTTGCCGCAATTTGTTCCTCGGCGGGAACTCTGACAAGTCCGTATTTTTAATTGGACTGCGCCCCGAACGGATATTTCAGGCCGCAATACTGCGGGGGTAGAAGTTTGGAGGAGAGCCGAAAATTCTGTACATTAGGTTATTTGACTGAGATAATTGAAAAACCACCACACATTATGTGTTGCTGACTGAGATAAGTGAAAAACCACTATACATTATGCGTTCCTGACTGAGATAAGTGAAAAACCACCATACATTATGTGTAGCTGACTGAAATAATTGAAAAACCACCATCACTCTGTTTTGCTGACTTAGATAAGTGAAAAACCACTACACATTATTTTTTATACTGACTGTGATAAGTGAAAAACCACCATACATTATGTGTTACTGACTAAGTGAAAAACCACCATACATTATTTCTTGCTGACTAAAATAAGAGTAAAACAACCATACATTATGTGTTACTGACCATGATAAATGAAAAACCACCTTGCATTATGTATTACTAAGTGAAAAGCCACCATAGATTATTTGTTGCTGACTAAGATAAGTGAAAAAAAACTATACATCTGTGTTGCTGTCTGAGATAATTATTGAAAAGCAACTATGAATGCTGTGTTCCTGATTGAGAAAACTACTGAAAACCACCACACACTCAGTTTTACTAATTTTTAATGATAACCTCCCTACCTCATCTCGAATGGTTTGTTGGCTACTTTGAACTTCAATTAGCTATGTAATCTCTGCTAAGATGTGGTGATCTGTGTTATCTATGACTTGAGTAAAGTCATTGAAAAATCTGGGAAAATCAAAACAGAAATTGGAGTAGTGGCTAAATTAGATCACAAGTGTGGTTTGGTCACTGAAGATGTAAATCTTACATCATGAAAAAGTTTGTTGTATGACATGTAAAAATAATACTTTTTTTGTATCTTTTACTACATAATTCAGCAGGATACATTGTTTTCAATATGTCAACATACATTTTTATGCATGATCCACATTTGGGGCAGTCATTAGCTGCACTCTGAAATTGTTCGTATGATTTTCCAGGCCGACCTGGGGTCTGTAATGCAGGTCACGTCTGTAGCCACCCAGGGATCAGAATCCGAAAGTCTGTGGGTCACTTCCTACTATCTGGCATTCTCAACTGATGGCCAGACTTTCCGAAGATACGGAGGCAATGTGACATTTTACACAGTGGCAAACAGAGTCACAGTTTACAATGAATCAGTGGTAAGTTGTCTAACTGCAATACTTTGGCAACATTAACGAACATAGTACGCTTTTAAAAACAATACTGAAGGGATATTGTTGAGGGCAAGCAAGCAAGAGGTAGACAATGATACAAGTGATAGGGCAACATTAAGAGATGGACAAACAACAGTTTAAGAGTGTACAATCAAGACAAGATACAGTATGTTGGAGATTAATTGCAGCCATCCTTCATTATGGAGACGACACATGATTGATTGTTTGAAGTTATCTCTGCAGCTTTCGTGTCAAGTTAGTATATAGAAAGTCAGTAGTTTAGGGTCAGGAATTGTTGATTGTTGAGTCAGTGGGCATCATTAGTGGGTATTTGTGTGTGTGTGTGTGTATGTCAGTCATCGTGAAGTCAGTAGTTAGCGAGTCAGTAGTCGCTAAATTAGTGTTTGCTGACTTAGTGGTTGACGAGAGCAAGAGGAAGGCGAAAAAAATTAAATATCTGGATGGCTTAGCCATTAGGGATGAGATGAAACAAGAACATTGACCTAATCTATGATTCTGGTGATTTTGTGGGATAGCAAAAAGACAGCCATTGCCTTTCGGCATGGCACATGATGCTACACATTACTGTAGACACTGGTAAGCACAGCCATCTTTATTTTTTAGTTGAAAAAAAATACCTTCAATGAAGGAGAGTATAACACTGATAAGGTTGTTGAATGACTTTGACACATCTTGTTGTAGCTGTACCAAGGCAACTTTGATGGTTCCACAGTGGTTAAAAATGACCTGGCTCAACCGGTGAATGCCAGATATGTCCGGTTGTACCCTCACAGTTTCCAGACAGCTGTAGCCATCAGATGGGAGATCTATGCTTGTGCTAGTAAGATTTCCTGTGGTTACTTCATCTTTGAACATTGTCAGTGATTCAAGAGCCTTGTTTGAACAGCTTAGAATAAAAAACTAAATAATTTTGTTCTTCTCTTCAGCCTTCTCCTCTCTTTTCTTCTTCTTTTCCCCTTTCTCTATGCCTTCCTTCCTTCCTTCCTTCCTTCCTTCCTTCCTTCCTTCCTTCCTTCCTTCCTTCCTTCCTTCCTTCCTTCCTTCCTTCCTTCCTTCCTTCCTTCCCTTCCTTCCTTCCTTCTTCTTCCTTCCTTCCTTCCTTCCTTCCCTTCCTTCCTTCCTTCCTTCCTTCCTTCCTTCCTTCCTTCCTTCCTTCCTTCCTTCCTTCCTTCCTTCCTTCCTTCCTTCCTTCCTTCCTTCCTTCCTTCCTTCCTTCCTTTCCTTCCTTCCTTCCTTCCTTCCTTCCTTCCTTCCTTCCTTCCTTCCTTCCTTCCTTCCTTCCTTTCCTTCCTTTCCGTTTCCTTCCTTTCCTTCCTTCCTTCCTTCTTCCTTCCTTTCCTTCCTTCCTTCCTTCCTTCCTTCCTTCCTTCCTTCCTTCCTTCCTTCCTTCCTTCCTTCCTTCCTTCCTTCCTCCTTCCTTCCTTCCTTCCTTCCTTCCTTTCCATAATCCTTCCTTCCTTCATTCCTTCCTCCTTCCTTCCTTCCTTCCTTCCTTCCTTCCTTCCTTCCTTCCTTCCTTCTTCCTCCCTCCCTCCCTCCCTCCTTTCCTCCCTCCCTCCCTCCCTCCCTCCCTCCCTCCCTCCCTCCCTCCCTCCCTCCTCCCTCCCTCCCTCCCTCCCTCCCCTCCCTCCCTCCCTCGTCCTCCCTCCTTCCTTCCTCCTTCTTCCTTCTTCCTTCCTTTCTTCCTCCTTCCTCTCTCCCTTCCTCTATCCCTCCCTCCCTCCCTCCTCCCTCCCTTCCCTCTTCCTGCCTTCCTTCCTTCCTTCCTTCCTTCCTTCCTTCCTTCCTTCCTTCCTTCCTTCCTTCCTTCCTTCCTTCCTTCCTTCCTTCCTTTCTCCTTCCTTTCTCCTTCCTTTCTCCTTCCTATCTCCTTCCTTTCTCCTTCCTTCCTTCCTTCCTTCCTTCCTTCCTTCCTTCCTTCCTTCCTTCCTTCCTTCCTTCCTTCCTTCCTTCCTTCCTCTTTTACTTCTTCTTCTTTGTTGTCTTCTCCCTCACTTCCTTCTCCTCCTCTTGATCCATTTAAGGTGTGTTGACACTGAAAAGTGCTTGCATCATTCAGAGTTCTGAATGGTTTGGACATGTCATGGCTATGGCCAGCTAGTGTAACACAGAGAGCCCTGTCACTTTGATAAAATGGAGGCAGAGCAAGAGGTCAACCACACATGCCATGGATGGATGAGGCCATAAATGCTTGCATCTCTGTAGCACATAACTAGCCTGGCACCCAAAGTCTTATCAGAATGTCACAATAAAAGGCAAAAACAAGACTAGAGAAGAAGAAGAAGATTCTAGGTCTAATGTTGATCTGTTTTTTCAAAAGAAAAAGTAAAGAACTTTTCACACCAGTGGCCTGTTAAGCTTATGATGTTAAGACTCATATTTCTGTAGACCAATTGGCACTCGGTTAGTATTGTCGTCAAAACATCTTGCCAGCCACTTTTATTTCCCAAAACTTGACATTGTATCTATATGAAGCTGGGTCTACTTGAAAGTCAAGATCATTTTTGAAAAAACAAAATCTGACTCGATGCAGATTGGAGGACTTTTGTACTACTGTAAACTGTCTGCTAACATTTACTGCTTAAAAAAAACATCTCATTGATAGGTATTCCAAATGGAATGATACATTATTCCCAACTTGCTTACAGAACACACAGCAAGTACTCCCCTAGGATGTTATGCAGATGATCCAGCAGATCCAGATCTGCCCTATGTACCACTGAGAGACCAGTATGCCAGTATGTGGCCAGAAGCCTGCCTGTCCTACTGTTATGACATGGTATTTATTTTTGAATTAACTCTTGAAGGCTGCTATTTTTTTTTACCTGTTTTCTATCAATTACGTCAACTGTTTCGATACATGTTGTGTAACTACTTATGTTTAGATATGTCGATTTTTTTTTTTTTAAACTCTTTCAGTCACAGGAGATTTCTAAGAACATGTGGAAATAGAATAATAACCACAGTGAGATCAAATCAGCCTATGAGTTACATGACATCTCTGTGGAATCAAAGGGATTGTTTATCAAAAGTTAAATTTAAGGACAAAATTGAACACTGCATAAGTGAAAATTTCTTTGTGATAGCATCACTATAAAATAATAAAAACAAATACTGAGGTTCTGAAAAGATGGAATAAAGAGGAGTTGTTGGAAGACATGACACAAAAACAGTTCAAATCTCTCAGCCACATTAAAAGACATAAAACTCTTATATATAAATGGCAAGTTTAATAGACATAATACTCTTATAAAGACTTCTGGCATAAAATGGAGAATTATGCATGGTAGAATGTTAAGCTTCAAAATTATCTTTGCTTCTGACAGCGCTTTACTAATGCAGTTTCCACACATGGATGGTAGTCTACGGTTTCACTGCCTGAACTAATAGGTTTTTAGTGCTTGTGATCTGTGTTTTTCCTGGTGAATGCCTTTTATTTGTGCAGGGTTGTTTTTATTGGGTTGTTTGTATTCAGTATGGCCGGTAGCCGGCTTACGTGTGAGCTGGTGAAATACCTTGCGTCATACTTCTACATATGTATAGAAGTACTTCTATGTATGCATACATTTCTATAATTGAAATTTAAAAAAAAACAACTTATTCAAATAGAAAAAAAAAGCATTATAACCCAGATGGGTTGAACATAATATTTTTGTTTATATTACTACTGCTGTCTGACAGATTGATTGATAAGTGAACATATTTACAACACATTTTAGGGCTACTCATATGCTGGCCTACAAAACGGAGACTTATGTTCTTGTGGAAATGTTTACGGGATGTATGGAGAAGCTGAAGGCTGTAACATATCTTGCAGTGACCCCTACAGCAATTTCACATGCGGTGGTCTGAAAAAGAATATGGTTTACAGTACTGGATTGAGTGAGTTCTATGTGTATGGGCTTTCCTTTTCCTTTTCTTGGCTTTATTGTTTGTCTTCTTTGTCTTGTAAGTTCCAGTTCCAGTCTGGGTGGCTGTAGACAAAGAAGAAGGAAGTATGCTGGAAGCTAACAAGTTAGAAGCTGCTGGACTAGCAAGTGGACACTGCAGAATCATGACCAGGGGATACATCCCTCAACTCCCAAGGAAAAGGCAAGACGGATATACAATCAGACTGGTAGTGGTGTCATCAGGATTTGATTTGCAGACTAACATGGCTGTGGTCTCTGGCTAACTGTGCTGTGCTAGTTAGTTAGTTAGGTTATCATCATTGCACTCCTGACACGCCTATAGGTGCTCAGATTCTCCCCTCAGTATGAACTCCAGCATCTGTTGGCTAATAGTACCAGTTCTATGTTGATTAGCAAGTCCTGTGATGTGTCTGGTGTGCATCTCGTTTTTTCGCTATGCTGATCTTAACTCCCTAGTCTATCATTCCGGTGAGTGATGTGGATCCACTGCCCCCAAAGTTCTCCACCCTTCCAATTTTGCTTGCCCATTTTGTTGAGCTTTTTAGTCAATTTTCTCTGGAATTCCTTGTATAAGCTTGACTGCAGTCACCCCCATATTTTCACTATTTCCCATTTTTTTGTAGGGCATTAATAATATCAGCATGATGTACTGGTTGACTGTCTGTAGTGATAGTGGATCCAGCCAATCTATTAGCTTTTTCATTTCCATCAATGCCAGCTAACGGGTCTGTGGTCTCAGGCTAACGGATCTGTGGTCTTAGGCTAATGGGTCTGTGGTCTTAGGCTAATGGGTCTGTGGTCTCAGGTTAAAGGGGCTGTGGTCTTAGGCTAAAGGGGCTGTGGTCTTAGGCTAAAGGGGCTGCGGTCTCAGGCTAAAGGGGCTGTGGTCTCAGGCTAAAGGGGCTGTGGTCTTAGGCTAACATGGTTGTGGCATCAGACTAATGCAGCTGTGATTTCAAGCTAATGGGGCTCTGGCTTATCAGGTTGGGTGGGATCTATCTGGTCATATTCTTCCTGAAACTTCAACAGGTCTAGAAAACCAGCAATGCATAAAAGCTTCCTCAAAGAACAAGAAGATAGAAAAGCTAAATATAATAAAAAGAGACAGGATCAGAGAAAACAGGAATCAAGATGGGATGGAACCAGCACTAAACTTCATCAAAGAGACAACAGATGAAATGGTTTGAACTTGTCTCAAGACAACATGCACCACAGATATCTCTGTCAATTAGACACAAGTGAAGAAAGCTAGAGGTCCCCCATGCAAGTTAAAGATAGATGAAAATATCTGAGGCAGGGAATCTGGCATCACTAATACATAAGACACATCAAGGCTGGCACCAGATGCCTCTTGAAAACCCCACTTTGAAAGGCAGAAAAGGTCTCATCATCATCATGTAGCAGGTCTTTTGCAGAAAGTCGCTCTCATCACAGTCTGCCTGAAAGAAACTCGGTCTCTCGCCAGTTCTCCTGCCTCATATACTTTCATACTCAAGGAGTCACGTATATCCTGTGCCCATCTTCGTGTCGGTCGGCCCCTGCCCCTCCTTCCTGGTACCATGCCTTCTGCTATAGTTTTTTCAAATCCGTTGTGGCGCTTGATATGACCAAAATATTTCAACAGGGTCTACAGAAAAGAAATAAGCCAGCATTATATCATAAAAATGCCAGTAACCTAAAGTGTTTGATCTGATATGTTGTTTTTGTTTTTATGTTTTATGTCAGGGCTATTCAACTGGTATCCCAGAGGCATAATCTAGCTCACGGAGCAGGTGTCCTGCCGATCGATTGGCACTTTTCAGTCTTTGCAGACGATAGTGTTACATTGAGCTATGATGAGGCTTGGGACTGACTCTCAACCCATGACAATGGTGAATGTGACTAGCAAGACCCCTCCACTTGAAGAAAC